CCCTGCCTAGAATCGCCCAGTGAGGGGCTGGGGTGTGACTCAGTGGTAGAGCACCTGCCTAGAATCCCCCAGTGAGGGGCTGGGGTGTGGCTCAGTGGTAGAGCTCTTGAATAACAAGTGTTAGGTTCTGGATTCAACCCCTGGTACTAACAAAAATAAAAAAGAAATACACACAAAGAAACACACACACACACACACACACACACGTGCCCTCATAGCTCCAACAATAGAACAGAGAAGATGCCCCACCCTGGCCCCATCTCCCAGTGCTCCAACAGCACGTAAACTTCTGCTTTCCGCAGTTTGCCCTATCCGGGGAGAGACCTGCATGAAGCTGAGACGGTTGGACAAGGGAACTGGGACTGCAGCACAGGTGACAGAGTGCTCGCCAGGCACGCACAGGGCCCCGTGCCGTCACAGGTAGGCACAGACCAGGCTGGTAGCTCATGCTTGCTGTCCCAGTACTTTGGCGGTAGAAGGCAAGAGGATTGGGAGTTCAAGGTCATCTTTGGCTACACAGGGTGTTCCAGAACAGCTTGAGCTATGTGAAACCTTGGATCTAAAAATAAAAAAGCCCCCCTTCGGGGGGAGGGGCTAAGAAAGAGCCCACGTGTGAGACTCGGGCCCTCAGGCTTGGCGCACGCACCTTTACTCTCTGTGCCTCTTGCTGGTCCAGAAAGCATTTTTTAAGTATCTACAGATGTTTTTGTCTGCATACATGTCCATCTGCATACCATGTGCATGCCTTGTACCTTCCAAGGCCAGAAGAGGAAGTCAGGGGGCTGGAAAGATGGCTCAGCAGTGTAAAGCATTGTCGCACAGGACCTGGGTTCAATTCCCAGCACCCACTTGATGGCTCACAAGTATCTGTCACTCCAATTCCAAGGCTTCCAACACCTTCTTCCGACCTCTTTTCAAACCATTATGCACACACATACATGTAGGAACAACATATTATGTTCACACATACATGTAGAAACAACACTCACACACTTTTTTTTTAAATAATTTTTTTTTGCTTAAGAAACCAGATCCCCTGGAGCTGGAGTTACAGTTGTGAGCTACCATGTGGTGCTGGGAACCATGATCTAACCACCATGAATCTCTACAGCCCAGTACCTAGTCAGTTTTAAATGCTTTTTCCTGCCGGGCAGTGGTGGCACACACCTTTAGTCCCAGCACTCAGGAGGCAGAGGCAGGCGGATCTCTGTGAGTCTGAGGCCAGCCTGGTCTACAGAGCAAGATCCAGGACAGCCAGGACTGTTATATAAAGAAACTTTGTCTCAGAAAACCAAAAAGAAAAAATTTTTCTTGCTGGGTGGTGGTGTTGCATGCCTTTAATCCCAGCAGAGGAAGGGGCAACAGTTGGATCTCTGAGTTTGAGGCCAGTCTGGTCTACAGAGTAACTTCTAGGACAGCCAGGACTACACAGAGCAACCCTGTTTCAAAAATACAAAAACAGAAACAAAACAAAAAGAATAAGACAAACCAACCACAACTTTTTCCATTGATTGTTCCAAAGCTACCTCTTCCGGTTTTGGTATCCAGCGCATATCTCACGTCTCTCTAGATGGCATGGCATATTCCCCACTCGGTAACAGCCATCACTGATACTTCTTATAGAACCTGTCATAGCTGGGCAGGCCCCAGAATGGAAAGCCCTGGAAGGGAGGGAGTGCCTGGAGACATAGGAACCTTGTAGTCAAGCACATGTGAACTGTTCATCGCCAGGCACCTCCACCATGAGCCTCCCTTCCAGGCCTGAATACGATTCCCTCTACTCCACAGCCTTTTGTTTTTGAGACAGGGTCTTTGTAGTCCATTCTGGTATGAAGCTCACTTTGTAGCTGAGGTTGGCCTTCAATTCCTGATCCCTCTGCCTCTACTTCCCAAGTGCTGGGATTACAAGTGTGCACCAACAGGCCTTGGTCTCCTGGGGTGTAGACCTTATGCCCTGGGATCCAGGTCTCTGTTTCCTGTCAGGAAGACAAAGCAGCATTGTGGTTGGATGTCCAGGGCCAGTGTGGCCTGGTGGCACTTTGTCGCCCTCTGGTGGCAGTATGTGGTCTGGTTTCAAACCCTGTGGGGAGAATCAGAGGTGAAAAAAGGTGGGCTCACACCAAGGACCAGAATCTCAAATCTGGCTTCAGCCTTGAGGAGACACCTTGTAAGCAGACTGTCCCGCCTGCCTGTACTACGGACAGTACAGCACTACTCCTGTATTACAGCGCCTGCATAACAGGACCATTTGCAAGCCCCGGGCAAGGGCCTGAAGATTTAAACACACAAAGACACACAGACAGAGACACGGGTCATCCTTGAATTCCCCGAGAATACCCCCGTTATTGTGTTCCAGGGCAGCTTATATAGGGATGCTTAACTGATAGCCACGCCCCAGCCAAACCCACCAGAAACCCTCCCCTGCCATCGGGAACTCCTGAGGGTCTCTGCTCAGAGCAGCTGCAAGCATCACAAGTTGTTTACAAGAAATTCAGGATCTGGGGGCGCGCGGGGGGTGGGGGTTTCACAGCTCCCAACAACAAACCATCCAGGATCTCATCCCATCTGCCATGACGCCCGTCACAACTCAGGCCCTCAAAGATCATGGGGCAGACAACTGGATTTGAGTCTGTGTTACTCTGACCCAAGCAGCTTTCCCATGGACATTGGACGTTAGTCTTTGTACTATTCGATCCGAGCAGCATTAAAGAAGAGGAGGAGGAGGAGCTGGGTGGTGGCGCACGCGTGTAATTACAGCACTCGGGAGGCAGAAGCAGGCAGATCTTTGTGAGTTTGAGGCCAGCCTAGTCTACAAATCAAGTTCCAGGACAGTCAGGACTGTTACACAGAGAAACCCTGTCTCAAAAACCAAAACCACAACAAAAAAACAAAACAAAACAAAAAAAGAGCCCTAACAACTGTGAAAAACACCAAGTGCACACCCCACATCCGTGGCTGAGCATCGGGATTAAGGCTGTTTTCAGTAAGAGAGTTCAGGAAGGATTGTCAAGGGGTTTGGGCTTCTGGATGGTGATTTGGGGAGAATTTAGGTAAGGGTACTTTTCTTAGGACTAGATATTATTAGGGAGTGGGGTCAATTCACTGATTATATTTCTTTCTTTCTTTTTTTTTCTTTTCTTTTTTTTCCCCCCAAGATAGGGTTTCTCTGTGTAGCCTTGGCTGTCCTGGAACTCACTCTGTAGACCAGGCCAGCCTTGAATTCATAGAGATCCACCTGCCTCTACCTCACGAGTTCTGGGATTAGAGGGGTGCAACACCACCTGGCTGCTGATTACATTTTTTTAAAAGATTAAAAACATTCATTGGAGAAGAATTCACGCATTCTTGTATACACCATAAATGCAAACATACACATATACAAATTTGGTTACTCTCAAAGTGACTGACAGAGTTAACAGGACTTGAGTGATGCTTACAAACTCAAAAACTTTACATCTATTACTTTGTAATTCAATTCTGACTAAAACTCCAAGACACATATATGAAGCTATATTAGGAAAATGCCAAACTAATCTCATAGCTTGTAGGTATTTATCAATTGAACCGAGTCTTTCCCTATGTGGAAACTGAATTAAGATATATACTTCACAGAACTAGACTGAGTAGTTTTAACTTCTTTTATTTTTATTTTTTTATTAAATCCTTCACATTTTAATTGTTTGGATAGGATGTGCTATACATTTTTCTCCATTCCCTTTTCACCCTCCTCCCTACCCTCTTAGCCTCCCCCTTGCCCTCCATGGTCCCAACTTACTTAGGAATTCTTGTCTTTTTTTCTTTTCCCTTCCTAGGCAAATCCATGTCTGTCTGTTTTAGGGTCCTCATTGTTACCTAGATTCTCTGGGGTTGTGGGCTGTAGGCTGGTGGTCCTTTGCTTTATGGCTATTAATTACTTAAGAGTGAGTACATATTATTTTTGTCTTTCTGGGTCTGGGTTCCCTCACTCAGGATGGCTTTTTCTAGTACTGCCCATTTGCCTGCAAATTTCAAGATGACATTGTTTTTTACCACTGAGCATCCATTCTTCAGATGAGGGGCAGCTAGGTTGTTTCTAGGCTCTGGCTACTATGAACATAGCTGAGCAAATGTCCTTGTGGTGTGAGTGTGCATTCTTTGGTATATGCCAACAAGACAAAATGGCAGCCTACAGAATGGGAAAAGATCAGAGCCTGTTAGGGACCGGGAAGGAGCCAAGAAAGGTTTGTTCTATCTGCTTGAGAAGATGTGTTTTGCTAGAAGGAGCCTAGAAGTCTGATCCATTTCAGGGGTTCCCATCCTTCCATCGGGAACCGAAGCTTCAGAGGAGCCCACAGTCCCCTTTCCTCCACTTCCCCTCCCCCACAGCAGAGCGCCACTGATTACATTTTTAAATGATATTATTATTTACAGTACAGGGATTGGAACTGAACATTGGGACTTGTACATGCTAGACAAGCATGCTCACTATAAGTGGTGCCCCTTTCCCACGCTAGTGGATTCTAGCCAAGCATTCTACCACTGAACTTGATGTGTAGAGATGGTTGGCCTTGAACTCATAGACATCTGCTTGCCTCTGTCACCTGAGTGCTGGGATTAAAAGTATCTGTCATCATGACCATTGTTCTTAATTTTTTGAGACAGAGTCTTGCTATGTAGCCCTGGCTGGCCTTGAATTATCTATCCTCCTGCCTCTGTCTTCTAAGTACTAAGACTACAGGTATGTGCTACTGTCCTCGGCCGGATAGTTTGATTTGAGTGTTTTTTTTTGTTTGTTTGTTTTTTTGTGGCACTGAGGAGTGTTAGGATCTAGGCCTGCACCTTTAGGCCTTAACCCATAGCCTGAGTAAGATATGCCTCCAGCAGCTTGCTCTGGGGTAGAGTTCAGAATCAGTCGGGACTGTGACTTGGCAGCTCCTAATTTATGGTACCTTGCTCCTCTGTGACTTTTGTCACGTTCACTGTCCTGAGCTAAAATAAATCACATGCTGCTAACCATTCTGCTGCTCCTGAAAGGTTATGGAGAAGGATCCTTCCTTTGTTCTGGGAATTTGGTCACTCCTCAGGGGGACTTGCTGGGAAAGATGACTCTCAATGTTATTTTCTAAAGAGATTCCTCTGCAGTCCTACACACACACACACACCTTTCTCTTATTCCCAGTTTTAGTGACGCGCTCCTCTCCAGGCTCCACAGGGAACCTTCTCATTCCTTCTAAGGCTCCATCACGTTTAGAGCTGCATACATTGTATCGATTCTGTCTAAGCCCTCGAGGCCCAGCCAGCTTTGAGGCCCTTTCATTATAATAGGCTTCTCGAAAGGACTTGTTTCAGTTTCCTTTAAAAACCAACTGTTGCTGTTATTGTCTCAGCTTTTATTATCTGGAGCTAATACAGTGCCTCACGTATGGCCCGCAAAACACTCTGCCCCTGGACAGCCCCAGCCGGGTCATTTTCCATTCCCGTAAACGCTATGTAAAATTAGGTATGGCCACCTTCCAGTGAAGACTTTGAAGTGAATTGCTGGCCAACTCCTAGACTGGAGTGACAGCTTCTTTATTCTAAGAGAAACTCATAGACTCAGCCTTGCCTGGTAGTGCTGTGCTTTCAGAATGGCCAAGGTGATCAGATCTGTCTCAGGAGTTAGGTTTTTGTGCTGTGTTATGAAAGAAGATTATAAGAAATGAGGCTAGACACAGAGGCTAATACTTCGAGCCCCAGAATTCTGGAGGCAAACATGGTTCTGGCAGGCCTTGCCCTTTGCCCCCATTCCCTCTGCCATACTAAAACCCATTAGATTACCTTCCTAAAGTTACCCACCAAGGTCTAGTCCCTTATTTGGCCTTTTCTTTCTCCTGAGAGTGACTATCTAAGTATTACAGTCCGGCAATCAGAAGTCCCCTTTGGCTCACCTAATTAACACGGCCAGTTAAAATTAAACACCTCATCCTAACACGGGTTTCCCTTTTTTCTTTATAAACCACCATTTGTCTATGGGCCACATCAGTCTCCCCTCTATCCAGAAACAGTCTTTTGTCGTTGCAGTGGCCCCCAAATACCCCTCTCCCCTTTCCTTTATTCCTTTTCCCCTTCTCCCCTTCTCCCCCTCTGTCTCCTGTCTTTGTTTCTTATTCCCTGCCCTCTGTCCCTCTGGGGCAAATATTATCTTCTTTGTGCCGAGAACTTGGTCTTGGGATGTCCTGTACCGGTTTCTACAAAGGCAAGAGGATTTTCAGAAGTTCAAGGCCAACCTGAGCTACCTATAAACACTATCTCACGAGAAGGGGGGGGGGGAAGATGTGAGGAGCTAAATCAAATAGCTCTCCAAGACAAGGTCAAGACAAGACAAGACAAGCAAAACCGGGAGGGAAGTGCTGAGAGCCAAGAGAAGACAGCGCGAAGCCCTAGGGAACCTGAGAGGTCCCCTGAGGCCGGGCCACTCATCACGAAAGGCCGCCTCTTCCCCTAGAGAGGTGAGAGTCACGCAGCCTTGATTTGTTTTGAAACAGGAAATGAAATTACACTGCTATAATCAAAATTAAGCCACACTGGCTCCCCGCTCATGAATATTCAGCAAGCCGGCGAGGCTCTCAACACCGCCTCCTACCCCACTGTTGAGAAAGTGCGCACGCGCCGCCGGAGAACGTCCCAGGTCTGGGAGTGCGCGTGCGCAGCTGGCGCGCCCGTTTGTCGTCATCAAGACAAGCGGGCGACGGCGGGGCTTGCGAGGAAGTAGAAAGCTGCTATGGCGAGTCCTACAGCCGCCGCTGTGAGACCGCCCAGGCCCAAGAAAGAGCCGCAGACGCTCGTCATCCCCAAGAATGCGGCCGAGGAGCAGAAGCTCAAGCTGGAGCGGCTCATGAAGAATCCGGTGAGTCGGAGTGGTCTCTGCGGCCCGGCCGAGGCCCAGCCCCCTCGCCCCTCCAGGATCGGTAACTCTGCCCTCCGTACTCCCGGAGGAGGCCTGGCACGAGGAACGCTGCCCCGTCGAGAGTGAGTTTCGTGGCTGTCCTTGTCCTAGAGCGCAACTGCATGAAGGGCGAGGTTCAGTCCTCCATACCCCCCTTTTTTAGATTTTCTTTTTGAGGTACTGTGGAATTGCGCGTTTATTTACGCTCCAACTGCATCGACTCTGACGCATAGGCAGTCCTCAAGTTTGGGGCTCTCCTGCCTTGGGTCCCCAACTACTCCTGCACCGCTATTCCAGGTTGCTTCACAGCTCTTTCTGTTTTAATTTCGATAAGAATAAAAGCGGCAGAAGATGGGCATGATTGGGCGCACCTGTATAATCCCAGCACTCTGGTGGCCGACACGGAAGATTGCTACAAATTCCAGGCTAGCCTGGTCTACACCCTGAGTTTCAGGCTAGCTATATAGTGAGATCTATCTCAAGAACTAATAAAAAACCAAGAATCTATGCCTTAGGAAAAGTGTCCAACCTCTCTAAATAGCTCCCGTTATTGAAGAGGCATTGGCTAACAAATATGGAACACATCACTCTACCTTCCAACCCAACTTCAGAAAAACAGCTAACTGAGAAGGTCTCATATCTTCGCCAAGAAGAGGTGGGTTCTCTCCCTCAGTGACTTAGATTCCAGACGTCTGAAGTGTGGGAGAGTTTTTGCCCATGTTAGACTCCATGGTTTACAAGATGAAGTAAGCTCAGGGCAGAAAATGAGCAGTCAACTCCAGGTTTGAGAAACATGCTCATCTGTGTTAGGTCCCAAGAGAGGTAACTTCTTCGGCAAGTGTATGCTTACAAATGCGTTTCTGTTTAACTGTTGCAGGACAAAGCAGTTCCAATTCCAGAGAAGATGAACGAGTGGGCTCCTCGGCCTCCTCCAGAGTTTGTCCGTGATGTCATGGGTACTGTCTTTTGTCTGTGTCGGGGTTGGGGGGTGATTTTTAAGGGGATTTTGGAACACTATTGTTACTTGTCAACTAGATCTTTGGTAGAAAATTGTTTTTGTCTTTACGGTGAAGGAGTGCTGTTTTTTATGGTTTGGCACTAGATAACGGTTGCCCAGTGATTCTTTGGTATTTTTGTTTCTTGTGGTTAGACCATTTTATTCAAAGTCCTTAAAAAGTTGGTAAAGGCTGAAGAGGTCCACAAGGTCAGACAAACTAGTCAAGGAAAAGCTTCAGGTTTCCTTTGTGCTAAAGGTGCTTGCTTATTTTTTGAGATAGAGTCTCACTATGTAGCCCAGGCTGTGTTTGAACTCAGAAGCCTCATGCCTCCACCTCCTAAGGACTGGCAGGCATTACAGGCTTTCATCATTGTCCTAGAGTTTTTGTTGCTGTGATGAAACACAATGGCCATAAGCAAGCTGGGAAGAAAAGGGTTTGTTTGGCCTACACTTCCACATTGTAGTCCATCACTGAAGGAGTCAGCACAGGGACTCAGGTAGGGTTGGAACCTGGAAACAGGAGCTGATGCAGAGGCCATGGAGGGATGTTGCTTACTGGGTTCACCTACCAGTATGGTTGCCCAGCTTGCTTGCTTGCTTTTCTTTTCTTTTTTTTTTTTTAAGATGCTCAAGTTGGCAATTTTATTAAAAAAACAAAATAAAAAAAACAGAAACCAAAACACCAAACGGAAGCTCACATAGGAAGGGAGGGCCCAGGGTGAGGTTGCCCTCCGCCTGCTAAGCATCCTGCTGCTGCACAAACGGGTTGGGGATAGCTTCCATGCCATCCTGTGGGCAGATAAGCACCACCGAGGTGCCACGGCACACCACGAGCCCCAGCTGCCGTGTGTCCTCCGTCAGCTTGTACTGGTCATCGGGGTCTCGCATGTACTCGATGGTTCCATCCAGCACCAGGTTGAGCAGTGGGTCAAACCCTTTCAGGATCCCGCTGGCTTCCCGGCCACCCTGGAACTTCACTCGGATGGTCTTGTCAATGTACTTAGACAAGTCCAAGATGCTTCCTTTCTTCTTTTTCTCTTTGTCCTGCGCCATCTTGCCACCGCGCGCCCCCCAGCTTGCTTTCTTATAGAACCCAAGACCACCAGCCCAGAGATCACACCACTCACAATGAGTTGAGCCTTCTTCCATTAATCACTAATGAAAAAATGCCCTACAACCAGTTTTTATGGAGGCAATTTCTCAGTTAAGGTCCCCTCCTTTCAGATGACTAGCTTGTGTCAGGTTGACATAAAACTAGCCAGACAATGATCAGCCCTCTTCTGGCCTCTCCCGGCACCCACATGCACACACCAACACCTACTATACATGTAAACAAAAGGACATAATGGAACCAAGGTAAAGAGAAGGCTTGACTTCTTCTCAGGTTTGTTGCTGACTTGTGAATGCTCCCTCCCTATTCCTCAGTTTACCTCCAGGCTAACTAGACATAGCTAGCTGTTTGTGTAGGTCTGATAATGGCATTTTACCCAAATAAACAAGACATGGCTCCCCATCTCTCGTTGACCTATTTGTCTTCCCTCTGTCCCTCATGCTATCATGCTTAAACCATAAGTCTAAGATAAACTGTTTCTATATAGTTATTCATGTGTTTTTGTAACCCCCTTTTCACGTGCAGTATCGGAAGCATTTTTCCAACTATTAGGGATCTGGCTGTCACTTGTGAAATCATGGAGGGACGCTGTGAGTCCTTCTGGATGGCCAGTTGTTGAGCCGCAGTCTGCTTTTCCTCTTACTGTCATATAGAAGTTTTGTGAACCAAGGGTTTGATGTGTAACTTAAGTTGACCCTGTTTCTGGGTCCTCCTGCCTCAGCGTCTGAGTACTAGATTACTGACGGTTGCCACCACTGCTTTTTTAGAGTGGGATTTCCAGTGACCTCATACAAGTCGTTAGTAATACCTATGATGTGCCACATCCTATCCTTGTTGGAATACAAGTAGAAAGTCCCAATACATATAGTACTTTCAGTTTGAGTTCTTGTCCTTAGTCTCAGGGTTAAGTGCAGCTTATGTTGGTAAGTGGGTTCCTCCTCTCCTCTTCTCCCTTCCTCCCCTTTTATGGTCCTGAAAATTAAACTCAGGACCTGTGCCTGCCAGGCAAATGCTCTGCTGGTGTATTCTGTCCCTCGGCCTGGTTAACTGATTTTATCTACAACTCTGGACTGTTTTGGCTCTAGGTTCCAGTGCCGGGGCTGGCAGTGGAGAGTTCCACGTTTATAGGCACCTACGGCGGAGAGAATACCAGCGGCAGGACTACATGGATGCCATGGCTGAGAAGGTTAGTGAGCCAAGGAATCCAGTGACTCTGGATCAGACTCGACAAGCTGTTCACACTAGGAGAGGGATGTGTAGGAGTCTTCCCTGTATATGAAAGGGCTCCAGAGTCCCCTTCCCGCCCTCCACAGGCCGTTTGTTATGTAACGGAACAGCAGGTCAGGGCTTCCACACCGTTGTCCTTCTTCCTCTCTTTCCTCTCCACTGGGCTGAGTGTCTCATACAGTTCATTGTGATCGGTGTAGATTCAGTGTTGGATTCTCAGAGGATTACATTTCCTCATGGTAGGTGATAAATAATGTTATTTTAATAAGAATTTAAGAATTGCTTTAGGCCAGGTAGTGGTGACACAATGCGTTTAATTCCAAAACTCAGGAGGCAGAGACTTGAGTTCGAGGCCAGCCTGGTCTACAGGGCTAGTTCTAGGACAACCAAGGCCATACAAAGAAACATTGACTTGAAAAATCAAAAAACAAAAAGTATTGCTTTAGAAACTGTGGTTTATGAACCAATAAGTGCCAGGTGTGGTGGCACATGTAATCCCAACCGAAGTAGAAGGATCTCTGTGAGTTCCAGGCCAATCAGGACTACAAAGTAGAAACCATCTCAAAACAAACAAATAAAAAATGAACCATTAGGAACTGGACAGAGTGGCATAGACTTGTAGTCCCAGCTTCCAAGCTCAGGCTAGAGAATTTTTTGTTTTGGGTTTTTTGTTTGTTTGTTTTCAAGACAGGGTTTCTCTGTAGCTTTGGAGCCTGTCCTAGAACTAGCTCTTGTAGACCAGGCTGGCCTCGAACTCACTGAGATCCGCCTGCCTCTGCCTCCCGAGTGCTGGGATTAGAGGCGTGCGCCATCACCGCCCCCTGGTTGCTAGAGAATTTCTTGAGCGCAGTTCAGGGTCAGCCTAAGCAACGTAGTAAAACCTTGTCTCAAAACAATGAAATGACAGCTGGAGAGGATGTGTCAGTAAAATGTTTGTTTTTCAGGCACAAGTCCCCAAAACCCAGGTGTGGGGGCAAAAAAAAAAAGGCTAAGTGTGGTGGTGGGTGCTTGTCATCTCCTGCTCACTGAGGAGATGGAATCAGGTAGTAGATCCTTGAGCGTTACTTACCAGCCCACCTAGCCTAACTGGGGATCCCCAGGTCTCAAAAACCAAGACAGATGATAACCTAGGAGGGACCCCTGAAGTTGACGTTGAGCTCTCAAGCCTTGTGCACACAGTACTCTTGAATGCACATGATCCTAAACACATTCTCATCTACATTTGTAAGCACACACAATCATAAAAACTGTTAAGCAGGTACTGTGGGTGTGGCTTGGTGGTAAAGTCTGGCCGGGCATGTATGAGGACTTGGATTTAATTCTCAGTGCAGAGTCACAGAGAGAATCTGAGAGGGAGCAACATTAAGCCTTCTTGGTTTGCTTGGTTCTGGTATGTGTGGGTGTAGGTTTTATTGAGCTGCCTTCACCAGACCAGCTGGCACTTGAGCTTCAGGGATTCTGTCTGCACATCTTTAGCCTTAAGAGCACTGGAATTACAGGCGTCATGTCCACCTCTGTGGGTCCAAACTCATGTCCTTACACTTGCTTGGGATTTGAAGAATTTTTGAGTTAGAGTGGACTAGGCAGTATCTAGCCCCACCCTCTAAGGTCCCAATGACAAACCAAAATTCTCCCCGGGGAACCAATGAGGTTTTAAGCTTATAGAGCATGGTGAGAGGTTATTGATGAGAGCGTGGTGTCAGGGTTCGGCCTCAATGGTATTCACATGGTCCAGAGAAGGGATATGTGGATTAGAAACACCAGGCAAACAGAACAGAGATACAAAAGAAATAGACAGAGACACAAAATAGAACCAGGAGGGCAATCCAGTGAATACTGAATTCACCCACATTTATTTTCTATATGCTTATTTACCCCAGTCCAAAAAGAGTGGGAAGAAGACCAAAGATTGTTTTAATATGATGCAGACTAAACAGAGCAATTATATCTTCAGTACCTGGAGCATCAAGCAGCTATTCTGTTGTTTAGGCAGGACGTGCAGCCGTCACTCCTTAGGCCAAGCATCCTGTGGGCAGCCACCTCCTGGGTCAAACCTGGAGGAGCTGGAATAGGCCTGAACTCTCTGACCTTTAGTCAAGGTGGATGGTACCTACTTCTGTGAGCTCTGTTGCAGCAGAGAGGGAACCTCTTTTTTTTCTAGTCTTTCCCAGCTTATATACTCTAACTGTAATGGATTAAGTAAAAATGCTGCAGTTCCCGAATGACTGCAGTGGGCCACGAGGGGCAGCGAGTCCCATGAGGAGAGACAGACAAGAGTCTCCCATGTTATTCTCATACATTCAAAGTCTCTCTCTCTCTCTTTCCTCTCCCTTTTCTCCCTCCCCTTCCTCCTCTTCTCCCCTTCCCTCTTGCTGGTTTCTCACCCCTTCCCCCTCTGTACTCCTTCTCTCTTGCTTTTCTGCCCTCCACCCCATTTGTTGTATGTGCCCATACCAGTTCTCCCCGTATTTTCGTCTTGGAGAGCTATGCATTAAGTGCCTATCCCATCTGGGGCAGTCTTTTAATGTTAAAGTGGCCCAGGAGATCTGGGTAGTACCTGTGGCACCCCTAGTGGTGTGCCTGTGGAACTTAAAAAAACTCTTTTATACTCTTCTAAAGCCTGTCCAGCCCAGGGTAGGTCTGATCTGAGAGATGACATTTTGTTTTTCCAGCAAAAACTGGATGCAGAGTTTCAGAAGAGGCTAGAAAAGAATAAGATTGCCGCAGAGGAGCAGACTGCAAAGCGCCGGAAAAAGCGGTAAGAGCTTTCTGATCATTGTGGCCTGCAGACGGGAGGTGGGAAAGTGGGTGCTGAATAGTGAGCCTGGGCCTTAGAGGCCAGAGTTCACTAGCAGCTGGGGTCAGGGTGAGGGCATGTGAGGGCTTGTGATCCCAGATACTATACAGCTACTACACAGGCCAGGGCAGGAGTTCAAGACCAGCCCGAGCCAAAATCAAAAGGGTTGGTGACATGGCTCAGCAGGTACAGATGCTTGCTGCCAAACCTAAAGTTTAGGCCCTAGAACCTACATGGTGGTTCTTAAAAGTTATCCTCAAGCTGGGCATAGTGGCTCACACCTTTAACCCCTGCATTCCAGTGGCAGAGTACAGTGGATCTCTGAGTTTGAGAACAGACTGGTCCTCAGAGCAAGTGCCAGAACAGCCAGGGCTACACAGAGAGACCCTGTCTGAGTATGGGGGCACGAAAAACATAAAGTTGTCTTATGACTTCCACGCATGTGCCAGTCACACACACATCATTCACAACACCCCATGCAAATGTATGACTAGACGGCTCTGTAAGCTTACAGCTCCTGCTCTTCCAGAGGTCTGGAGTTCAGCCTGTGATGTTGGGTAGCTCACAGCCACCTATGATTCTAACCCCAGAGGATCTGATGCCCTTTTCTGGCCTCCATAGACACTGCACTTACGTACATATACCCACACTCAGACACACATGAATTTTAATTTATATTATTATTTTTGTTGTTGTTTTTGTTTTCAAGACAAGGTTTCTCTGTGTAGCTCTGGCTGTCCTGGAACTCATTTTGTAGACCACGCTGGTCTCAGACTCACAGAGATCCACCTGCCGCTGCCTCTCAAATGCTGGAATTAAAGGTGTGCACCACCACCACTCAGTTAATAAAATGAATCTTTAAAAAAAATAAACCCTCTCTGGGTGGTGGCAGTACATACCTTTATTCGCAGTACTCAAGAGACAGAAATAGGCAGATCTCTGAGTTCAAGGGTAGCCTGCTCTACAGAATGAGCTCCAGGGACAGCCAGCAATACACAGAGAAATCCTTTGTCTCTAAAAACAAAAACAGAGA